TGACTGCAGTTCACTGAACAGCCACTGGTGGCGCTCTTCACAACAGTTTAACGACAGCTTTACAGATACTGATTGAGTTTATCTGTGATCTTCTTTCAGTTGTGCTGTCGAGTGAAGAGGAAGAGGATGATGATGGAGATGGAGGGACGTCACAGAGCAGCAGCCGGGTGGAGGATGAGCAGGTACAGGTAGGAGACACACCTGAGACTGACCTCAACACCTGAGACTGACCTCAACACCTGAGACTGACCTCTACACCTGAGACTGACCTCTACACCTGAGACTGACCGCAACACCTGAGACTGACCGCAACACCTGAGACTGACCTCTACACCTGAGACAGTGAAATCCCTCCGTCAGCCCATCAGACCGCTGCTTTCTACGTGACTCATGTTAAATGACAGCAGGCTTTAATTTCAGGCTTTAGTCCACCTGCAGCTGTTCTGGTTGCCAGAGGCGATGTGGAGAAAGCTGCTTCGTACCACAAAACCATCATCTGGTGGACTCGCGTAGTCTCCTGACACATCGCTTTAATGTGCTTTTAAAACCACCTGTTCACAGTGTTTCAGTGGAATCGCTGCATCTTTCTGGGAACTTAATTTCATCTGTTTCACAGAGGAAACGTTGACAGTCATCCACCTAGAGGACATTAAGTTATTACTGTTCAACTAAACAACATAATGTGGGAACTAGATATCTATAAATGTAAATAAGATCATTTTTGGGAACAAGATCATATTTTTTACGCACAGAAAACAAATATATGTGAACAAGAACAAGATATCTGTAAATATATATGTATTATAATAACGGGATATAACAAACTCTATTGATTAATGTGAAGAAGATATCGACCCCATATTTTGGGGGCTTTTTGCCTTTATGGGAGAGGACAGCTTAAGATTGAAAGGGAAGAGGGAAGAAGGGGGGTAACATGCAGCAAAGGGCCGCAGGTCGGGTTCGAACCTGTGGCCACTGGTGCACAGGACGCTGGGTTAACGGCTCATCTTGTGTGGTCGAGATAATAATTTATTAACGCAGTAATAATAATAAGAATTATTTCTGATCGTAATAAGGTTTCTAGTGATTCCCATCTTATGTGAAACGGGTCCCTCTGGTGTGTTCCCAGTCCAGCCCGGTGGGGCCCGGAGGACTGACCCAGTTTGGGTCTCTGTTGCATGTTTGAGGTTGAAGTGAGTCATGTAGTTTGTTTGTGGGTTTGCAGGCCTGTAAACAACCGTCAGAGCCTCTAAAGCAGATCCAGATTGGATGTGAACGGAGTGTTTGTTGGTGTGTTTACTGACGCCAATCTACAAACCAGCTGCGAGTCTTAATAAAAAGATCTTTTTGTCCCGTCACAGGGGAAGTGTTTCTTTATTAAAGCTTAATGTGACCCACATATCTGCTCGTTGACCAAAGACAGTCCTCAAACAATCCGCTTTCAAGAATCTTCGTCTTTTTACTAGTTATTATGTCAGATGGTGTTTTTAGTGACCAGATTTTTTTTAATTTTTGTTTACCCCGTTGGCTGTTTGATATTCGACATTTCTTTAGATTATTTAGAACACTTTGCCTCTTTTTGTCCCGATGAAAGCCAGAAATCTCAACTAATGCGGAACAGATGTTCGCTGTGAACATCACAGAGGAGAAGCTTTACTTTCCCCCAGCGCCACCACGTGGTTTCTCCAGGGTCTGACAAATCTCCCCTCTACCAGCGGGGCCAGAATGAGTGAATCAGAACAAGATATCAGT